ATATTATTTATTTAATATATTTAATATATTATTTATTTAATATATTTAATATATTATTTATTTAATATATTTAATAATATTATTTATTTAATATATCATTACATGTTTTTAAAAATTAAACCACCAAACGCAGTTTCAGTTTTTTTTAAAACTGAAATTAATCTCTGAATAAAACTACCAAACGCATTTCAGAAATAATTCCAAAATGAAAATGAAAATGTTTTCATTTTTATTTGTATACAGAAAACAAAATCATTTTGGAACCAATTCCAAACGCACCCAATGATATGCGTTTTGGTTGACCATTATGGCTGTTTATTTTGTCGATTCGAGTTTAAAATTTAAATTTTATTATAGTAAAAAACTCTAAAAAAAAATTATATCTAATTTTTTTATTACAATAAAAAATTCTTATATAACGTCACATCTTAACTAAAATTAAAAACTCAAATTAAATAACTAAACGGATTTATATTATATCACAAAAATAAAAAATCCCAGTCTCCCATTTTTCAGCCCGGAAGAAAGTAGGACAGGACAGAGCTGAGGCCTGAGAGAGAGAGATCTTCCTTTTTCCTCTTTTTCCCTTTTTTTTTTCTTTTCTTCGCTTTTACCAAAGCCGATGCCATTATTTTTGCTTTCTTCTTCCTCACAAAAGATCAATTTCTGAAGCTTTTTACTCAGAATCCCTCGCTTCGACAATGTCAATGCCTGAGCGAAGAAGAAAACGCTTTTATTCTTAGGGTTTTCAGGGAACAATCAACTACTCACTCCCTCCCATCCCATGGCGTTGGCTCAGGCGGTGCCGGGCATTCCGTCTAGCTGCTCGCTTTGCCGGAACAACAAGAACAACAACAATGGCGATTACCCTTCCAACATTCCTTTTCTCTCTGCGTTCGGAATTTCTAGGATTTGTGTTGGCTCGCACTCGCGAAAGCCTAATTCTACTAATATTAGTCTTAATGGACGGTGGAGATTGAGCGCAGTCGATACCCGCATTGTTCAGAACGCTTCCTCTCGCGCCGTTGTTGAGATTCCTGTTACCTGCTATCAGGTGATCGTTCCTCATTTTTCTCTCTTTTTCTCTCTATGTGCATTTGGTATCTGGTTCAGTTACTTTGATCGTTATTTAGCAATGCAAGAAGATTCGGGAATTTATACGTTATAGAGATTTTATTATTATTATTATTATTCGAATATACTGGCTGTTGTTTTGTGCAAAAAAAAAAAAAAACCGTGAAACCTTATTTTTGTTACCATTTCTTGGTGGAAATATGTTCTACGCTTAATCATACAGTAATATGAGCTATTTGCTAAATGAGGAGCTACAATTGGATTTTAGAGAGTTGTAATTTTCAATATAATTATAACTATATTTAGCAATATTGGAAGAGTTAATGAAGTTATGCACGATAAGGTTATATTATTTTTACTGAGTGTAATAGTCATTATTCTATAAAAGGTTGAAAATGAAAAAGAACCAATGAAAACCAGATTTGGTGTTACCATTTCCCTGGGGAAATGGGTTGTGCACTGAATTTGTTTTCTAATAATTATAAATATGTGTGCTATTGGCTCAGTTAAGTGCTTCAATTGGATTTTAAAGAGTTTTAATTTTTTATGTATTCATTCATGTATTTAGACTTGGAATGTGGGTTAGTTTTTATTTTGTTTTTTACTCATTTTCTTTACTTCGTTATTGAAGAGATGGTATTAGTGGTTATAAATACTTGGATTAGAGAAACGTGCGAGTTTCTCACAATTTGAATATGTTTAGAAACGTGCGGTAGGTTGACATCGTAAAAATATGTCACTCTACATGGATTTCTCATTTACAGATTCTGTTGGGGCGTTCCCTACGACGCACTATGCCAGGCCCCGGGTATAGTATTAAATAGGCAAGCGGAGTCCTCACACATTCATAGATGTGTGCGGGGGGAGAAGCTAGCCTATGCGCCATGTCGGGCCTCAAATATGGTGAAAAATATGCATGGGGGGTCCTTGCACATTCATGGACGTGTGCTGGGGGCAAAGCTAGCCCATGTTAGGAAAATTCTTCTAGGCAATTGGAATGTACGTTCTTTAACCAGTAAATTTATGGAGTTAGTAGATGTTATGCTGAGAAGAAGAATTAACATCTTATGCTTACAGGAAACCATGTGGACGGGAAAGAAGGAAAAAGAGATTGGAAACCTAGGACATAAGTTATGGTACACAAGTTGGGAAAGGAATCGCAATGGAGTTGGCATTCTAGTGGACAAAACTTTGAAGGATGAAGTGGTTGAGATTAAGTGATTAGGTGATAGAATTATTAAGATCAAATTAGTGTTAGGGGAGAAGTTCATTTATGTAATTAGTGCTTATGCTCCACAAGTAGGATTGGATGAGGAAACTAAAACCAAGTTCTGGGAAGACATGGATGACTTAGTGCATAGTATAGGTAATGAGGGTAGCATTTTTATTGGAGGAGATTTGAATGGACATGTTGGTAAGGATAGAGAAAACTTTGAGAGGATTCACGATGGTTTTGGTTTTGGGGCTCGGAATGAAGAAGGGAAATCTATTTTGGAATTTGTATTGAGACACGACTTTGTTATAACCAACACATTCTTTAAGAAAAGAGATTCACATTTACTCACTTTTAAAAATGGGGGAAACTCGAGCCAGATAGATTATTTTCTCACAAAGTACAGAGATCGTTCTCTCTGTAAGGATTGTAAAGTAATTCCTGGAGAAGCGTTAGCCACCCAACATAGGTTAGTAACCCTAGATGTGAGCATTAGGCTTTACCATAGAAGGATTGAGATAAATCACCTCCCACGAACTCGTTGGTGGCATTTAAAGGGAATAAAGAAATTGACTTTTAAGGAGAAGTTGTTAAAGGAGGTTGCTTGGTCATGCGAAGGTGATGCAAATACTATGTGGGACACCGTTGCGAGTTGCATTTGAAAAGTGGCAAATGAGGTACTAGGAGTATCTAGAGGTAAAGGCCCTCCGGGAAAGGAAACCTGGTGGTGGAGTGAGGAAGTTTAAAATGCTATTAGGACCAAGAGGGATTTGTATAGAGAGCTACCAAAGTGTAAGAATGGTGAGACTTTTATTAAGTACGAAGAAGCGAAGAGGGAAGCTAAGAGAGTAGGTAATAAGGCTTGTGCTACTTATTTGGATAAGGTGTATAGGAAACTTGGGACTAGAGAAGGATATCTATAAACTAGCTCGGATAAGAGAAAGGAAGTGTCGGGATCTAAATCAAGTGAGACGTGTTAAGGATGATACGGATCAGGTTATGACGAAGGATGAAGATATTAGGGAGAGGTGGAAGAGTTACTTTGAGAAACTTTATAATGAAAATCATGCAATGGTTTGGCGATCTTAGGTACCAGGGCGAACCAAATGTGATGTATACAAACGGCATCAGAGTTTCAAAAATTAAAACTGCATTACGAGATATGAAAATGGGGAAGGCATGTGGGCCAGATGATATCCCAATAGATGTTTGGAAGGTGTTAGGAGATGTTGGAATTAAGTGGCTCACTAAGCTTTTTAACGAGATACTAAAGAAGAAGCATATGCTCGATGCTTGGAGAAAAGGTATTCTCGTTCCCATCTTCAAGAATAAAGGAGATGCGCTAAATTGTAACAACTATAGGGGTATAAAGCTGATAAGTCACACTATGAAGCTTTGAGAGAGAAGTATTGAAAAGAGATTAAGGGCCACAACTACCATCTCAGGTAACCAATTTGGGTTCATGCCTGGTAGAACTATGGAGGCTATTTTTCTTCTTAGGATGCTGATTGAAAGGTATAGAATAGCTAAAAAAGATTTGCATATGGTCTTCATAGATTTTGAAAAGGCATATGATGGGGTACCGAGAGAAGTGTTATGGTGGGTACTAGAAAAGAGAGGAGTGCATATAAGGTATATCAAGGTAATAAAGGATATGTACGATGGAGTTATCGCAAGTATGAGAACTACTGGAGGCTGCACGGAAGAGTTTCCCATTCGGATTGGCCTTCATTAAGGTTCCGCTCTTAGTCCTTATCTTTTCACTATCGTGATGGACGAGCTGACAAGAGAAATTCAAGATGAGATTTCTTGCTGTATGCTTTTTGCAGACGATATAGTTTTAGTTGATGAACATCGGAAGGGAATTAACCGTAAGTTAGAACTATGGAGACAGACCCTTGAAACGAAGGGATTTAAGTTAAGTAGAACGAAGACTGAGTACATGCATTGTAGGTTTAGTAATTTGAGAGATCAAAGTGATGGAATTTCTTTGGATGGTGTGGTGATTGGGGCTTCTAGGAAATTTAGGTACGTTGGGTCCATAGTGCAGTGTGAAGGGGATATAGATGAGGATATTGGACATAGGATTTAGTCGGGGTGGGTTAAGTGGAAGAATGCCACGTAAGTTTTATGTGAGATAAAATGCCCATTAAATTGAAAGGAAAATTCTATAGGACAGCAATTCGTCCAGCTATGTTATATGGTAGTGAATGTTGGGCCATTAAGAGACAACAAATATACAAGATGAGTTTGGCGGAGATGCGTATGTTAAGATGGATGAGTGGTCATACGAGGATGGATCGCATAAGGAATGAAGTTATTCGTAGTAAAGTAGGTGTAGCACCAATAAAAAATAAGGTGCAGGAATACCATTTGAGGTGGTATGAGCATGTACAACGTAGATCGTTAGATGCACCTGTTCGTGCTTGGGAGAATATCCAAATGCCTAGTACTAGGAGAGCAAGAGGTAGACCAAGAATTACTTAGGCCAACGTAGTTAGGCACGACTTTCAAGATCTAGAGTTTTAGGAGGGTCTCGTGCTTAATAGAGCAGACTGGAAACGAGAAATCCATATAGCCGACCCTAATTAATTTAGGATTAAAGGCTTGTATTTGTTGTTGTTGTTGTTAGAAATGTTCACGAGTTACGACTGTATGCTTCCCATACCTGTAGTGTGACATGAATTTCTAAAGTTTTCACTCAAATTTTGTTGCATTAACACTATTATTACTTCTTTCTTTGATTTTAGTAACCTACTCACAAGGAATAATCTTGTAGCTTATTGGTGTCACCGATCAAGCTGAGAAAGATGAGATCGTTAAATCTGTCATGGATTTGAAAAATGCAGAAATTGAAGAGGGCTATAGCATGGATGTGGTTGTATCCCGTCAGGTTGGAATTTGTTTGACAGCTACTCTTGCTAATTATTATTTTTAATTGTTTATTATATTTTCCATGTATAATTGACTGTGATTGTTCTGTTTCCATGTATAGTTCTGTAATTTTTTTCTTTTTAAAATTTTATTTTTCTTTCTTTTGTATCACTTCTAGGATCTTTTGATGGACGTGAGAGATAAGCTTCTCTTTGAACCAGAATATGCTGGTAATACGAAGGAAAAGATTCCACCTAAATCTTCGCTCCCAGTACCTTGGTCTTGGTTGCCTGGTGCGTTGTGCCTCCTCCAAGAGGTAGAGCTACTGAGCTACACCATTTTGTTTAATACCTGGCAGTCCTTTCTTCTGATTTCATATTCTTTCATTAAAAGGTATTTATTATGTTTCCCGTAGATGTCTTGTTAATAGAGTTTACAGCGGTTTTGAGCTTTTTTTTTTATATTTTTTTTATTATTATTTATAATGTAGGATTTTGCAGCCTTTATTTTACACTCTGCTTTTGCATGTTGATTCTTCGTTTCGGATATGACATATTTTCCTGTAATTACACTTGGTAAAAAAGTGAAACTGTATCTTCACAAAATAACTACAAACGTTATCTGATGGTTCTTGTACTACAAAGAATCGTCAGTTAATGTTTTCCTTCCCTGCCAGTAGCAGCCTGTTACTTTGGAGATTGATACAATGATGTTATGTCATTCCAATCCAGGTTGGTGAAATAAAGCTAGTCCTAGATATTGGCCGTGTTGCTTTTAAGCATCCAGATGCTGAACCATATATTCATGATTTGCTTCTTTCTATGGCGCTAGCTGAGGTAAGACATTTGAAGCAAAGAGGTTAGGATCTTGTACCTTCTCTTTCTTGTAGCCTTGTTATGCCTTTTTTCTTATCATAGGTGCTTTCTTGAAGTGTACTACTGCAAAGATTAGTTTTGAGAAGAACAATGTATCTCAAGGATTTGAAGCTCTTGCACGTGCTCAGTGCCTTCTAAGGAGTAAGAAGTCTTTGGAGGAACTAACATTGTTATCTCAGGTAATGCAAAAAACAGCATAATTTACTAAAATGTTATTGAGCGCTGGCTTTCCTTTTAAAACATACGTATTCATTACCACTATTGCTTAGGAAAATTTTTAGTAACCGTTACCAAAATTCTTCAATGTTTTGGCTGAAAAGCTGGGCGAAACGTATATTGAAAACTTTAGTTCAGGCCAAGAATATGTTAAGCAGTTAAAAACTAAGAAAGGATTCTGAATATAAGATATTCTTATCTGGCTGAGAACTGTTTATGCCATTGGAGAGCAAATAATTTATTGTACATATGGTTCCATTAGACTTTACCTGATTCTCTTTTGTATACCTTTTGGCCATTGATTTAGATAGAAGAATCTCTGGAGGAGCTAGCGCCTGCTTGCACGTTGGAATTGTTAGGGATATCTAATTCACCTGAGAACGCTGAACGGAGGCAAGGAGCTATTTCAGCCTTGCGTGAATTGCTTAAACAGGGTCTTGAAGTAGAGGCATCATGCCAAGTCCAAGATTGGCCATGCTTTTTGAGCCAAGCACTTAAGAAGCTAATGGCTACTGAAATAATTGATCTTCTTCCTTGGGGTGATCTGGCAATTACACGAAAGAATAAGAAATCACTCGAGTCACAAAATCAGAGGGTTGTAATTGATTTAAATTGCTTCTACATGGCGTGTATTGCTCATATTGCGGTTGGATTTTCAAGCCAGCAAATAGAGCTGGTAATTATTAATGCATCTAGTACACGTCCTCTAATTCTTACCTTTTCATCTCTCTCTCTCTCTCTCTCACACTCACACACACATACACACACGCACGCACGCACACATGGCACCCTCTCTAAGAAATGAAACCTGAAGTTAGTATCTACGTAGTTTTACCAGCAGGATATATTTGTTTGCGTAGAAAAAGGTCGGTAAATAGTAATTCCATTTCATGTTTCATTTCTAAGGACAGAGAGATGTTAATTCTACAATGTTGGTTTCATTTATTTGTTGTTTTTCTCAATTGTCTGCAGATTAGCAGAGCAAAAAACATCTGCGAGTGTCTGACGGCATCGGAAGGCATTGATCTGAAATTGGTGGATGCTTTTTGCCTGTTTCTTCTTGGTCAGGTATATTTATTCAGTTCTTTCCACTTATATATTTTTTTTCCTACTCCGTTAAAATAGATTTGAAATCTTTATTTTTTGGTTTCTGCTGCTATGCATTTTAGCCTTCTCCTTTTGCCTTTCTATTCCTCAATGGTATACTTTCGCGATATATTGTTTCAGGGTAGTAAGGGTGAGGTGGTTGAGCAACTTCGGCAGCTTGAATCAAATTCAAATAATGCTGCAAGATATTCCATTTCAGGAAGGGAACTTAAAGATGCGTCTGGTGCAAATCAATTGTTGGTACGTCCTGTCACGTATGATAATTCTGGTCTTGGTTTTTTTTTTTTTATAATTTTTTAGTTGTTCTTTTGAGCATCCATAATTACTAGACTTCTCACGTTGCAGTTATTTATGCTAAGACACCTTGCAGTTATGTTATTATTATTATTATTATTTTGATAAGAACAAAAACTTCATTAATAATGAAAAAAATTACAAATGAAGTTCCAAGATGGATGAGAAATCCATCAGAACAAAAAAATACAACAATAAAAGCAAAACAAAACACTAAGCTAAACACAAGCAAATTGCATGATTTATTTCAGGACATCATCCCAGCTCAACAGAATCAAAGATAATGGGAAATGCTTGAAAGATGGATTTGTTGAAGCCCAACTAGACACTAGGTGTTTTGCCCTCTCAAAGAAATCCTCAAATAACATTTCTTTTCCTTCAAAAATTCTTTGATTTCTCTCCCACCAAAGAACCCAGAGAATGGCCAAAACATAGCAGGCCAGATTGTCTGGGCCTTATTGCTCTTTCCAAAATCAACCTAGTCTTCCACTAGAATCACATAACAATCACAATGCAAAACAATGTTGGTTTTCAAAACGTTTTCGAGTGTGGAAGCGTGGTAGTGTGGATGTATAACAAAAAATTTTCACAAAACCTTTTGTCTATGCTATAGATTATATTAATTTATGCAATAATAAATTAATCTTATTAATTTATGATAATAAATACCTTGCCGACGATTAGGACGATATCTTGAGGTCTTTGGCCAACGAATGTTCCTTGCTCCAAAACTTTCTTAGAACACCTAAGCCTTCCTCGTCTACTCCTTGATATTGCAAGACGATGAGTGTGGGCTCAAGGTATAAACTATTAGAACGATCACTCGCTAATTTGTATTCTTTCACTATCAACGCATGTATGTGAAAGAATTGAGAAAATTGGAAGAACTTTTCTTCTCTTTTTCTCTCTTGTGATATTTGGCCAACCTAGGAAAAAATAGGAGATCAAAATTTCTTTCTCCACTTATTGTCTCCTATTTATAGACAATTAGGAGAACCCTTTTGTTTGTAGGCAAAGAAAATAGGAAATTGGTAACTACTATATTTTTAATCCCATTAAAAATACAGTTTCCCTGTTGCTTTTGGAAACAAAATTTCCTTCCCTTTTTCTTATTGTGTAGTCGGCCATCTCTTAAGAAGGAAGGAGAAAATTCCTTCCTAATCCAGTTTCCAATTTTAGCTTAAATTCAATTCTAAATAAAGTAAAATCTTACTTTTCCTTTTGAATTTAATTGGAAAACTTGTCGAACAAGGTAAACCGGATTACTTAGAGAGCAAGCAACTAAATCCCAATGAGATTTTTCCTATTGTCATACGCCCCCCGTGGACCACAGTGTGTGACAAAATAATTAAATAATCATATTATTTAATATATAATTAATTTTTAATTAATTATTTGCTAGTAAAATAAAATCCCGATAATTCATCTTGTCTTGCAAATGATACAAGGATGACAGGGGACTTATGGACCTATAATTCCGAGCTTCAATAAAATTAATAATTAATTAAACTCTTTAATTAATTTATTAATTCTATTAATTCTAAAAGTTACTCCACTAAAAACTTGGAACTACACTCTCGAAATTATAGACATAATTTACTTCTAAAAACTTGAAGTGTTCATTTGATACAGTCACTACATATAGATTGATCCTCCATAAATAAGTCATAATTAGAGCTATGTAAAATCCGTTAACATCTCTAATTATATTTTTATTCTTGAGTATCATTGATTCTCTAATAAATAGTATATTCATAAAATATATTCATGAATACGAGCTCATTACTTATTTAAGTACCGAAGCAACCCTCAAGGAAATTATTTATCTGCTTCTTCAAAGAAGAAGGAATGGATTCAATCTTGTATATTAGCATTCCCGGCTATCCATTTCATTATGTTCCCAAGATACAAAGAATAGGATTTAGGATATCAAAATCCGTACCGAGTAAATCAAAGAACACGAATCCACAAATAAGAGTCTACTAATAACTCAAGATTAAGATCATTCTATATATGACCATCGGTAGACTCAAATTTGATTTTTCATGCTTAACAGAAATTATTAGAAAATCAGATTGTGTCTGTGTCCCAGTTCTACATAATCTCATTATGCATAATACACTAATTCAATATCTCTCTATATTAGTGATGCGGATAACACAATTCCATTCTTAATGGGAATGACATGTATTAGTAATGTTTTAATTAAAGATTCTGAAACTTTAATTAAATTTATTACAAACAGCGTTTCGATTATTATCTGTAAATATTATTCTCTCGTAGATAACATTTATATACAATATTTAATGTTACATAAATAATCACGGATTTTTCAATGATATTTATAAAGTATTAAATTATATCTCATGCTTAAGGACACCAATCCCAAAAAACAAGTAATCCATAAATTCAGAGTTTGACCTGCACATTACACACCAGCTTGGAGACAAAGCAGACATGATTTTTTCTCTGCACTAAATGACGTGTTCAATCTTCTATGAAAAAACAACCATGCAAAAACCTTAATTCTAACAAGAGCACAAGATCTCCAGATAAAATTTATAAGGTTCAAAAGGAGAAAGCTTTGGATCTATGACTAAAGAAAGGAAATATGAATTGCAAGAGTAACAATATGGATCGCACTTCCAAACCCTTTTATCACATTGGGAATGTCTAGGAGAAAAATTTCCCAAGACCTAAAGAAGGTTTCCTAATTGATCAGATTCTCTATTATTGAGATTCCTTCAGAAGCTGAAATTCCAATTGATATTTGAATATTCTTCATTGATTACAGCATCACTTATCTTCATCTCCCTCACTAAGATAAGGCTTTAAATCCTTGGAATGGTCATTGCAAGGCATATCACCACACCACTTATCCTCCTAAATCTGATTTTACTTCCATCCCCCCACCTCCCATCTCACTGTATCAAGAAACGAATTTAGACCTTGAGATAATTTCCATGGATTCCTAAGAGTGCCTCTTCTTACAAAATTAGAGTCCCATCCATTAGGTTGCAGCCCGTATTTGCTTCTAACTACCTAGACCCAAAGCGAGTCTTGTTCTAAAGGAAACCTCCATAACCATTTACCCAACAAGGCTTGATTTTTTTCCAGTGGATTCCCTATTGCCAAACCCCCTTATTGTTTAGGTTGAGAAACTATCCAAGCTATAAGATTATCCACTCTCTCATTCTCTATTCCATCCCACAAAAATCTTCTCATTTTATCTTCAATCTCTTTAGCCACCGCCGTTGGCAATTTGAACAAAGAGAGAATAAATAGGGATGCTTGCCAAGAGTTAACCCCCCTCAAGATAAGAAGCCTTTTTCCAGACTCAATCTCTTAGAAACTTTTTCCATAACTGGGTTCCAAAACTCCCGAGATAAAGGGTTTCCACCTAGTGGGGGCCTAAGTATTTCATAGGCCAGGACCCCACCTCGCAGCCCAATTCAAGAGCCAAGTCCCGAATAACTTCCTCATCCACATTGATCGCATTCAAAGTGCTTTTCCCCATGTTAATCTGAAGCACTGAGCAATGGGAGAAAAATATCAAAATGGCTGCCATGTTTCTAAAATTGTCTCCCAATGATTCAAGAAAAAAGAGGGCGTCATCTGCAAATTGAAGATGAGATGTGAATTTGTTCGCTGCCAATTTTGAATCCTTTAACAACCTCCAATTTACTTGCCGACGAAAATGCAAAAGCTGACGACTCTTCAAGAGGTTATGGAGATTGCCAACAAATTGAGGACTAGAACGAGGCTTTAGAAAAGATGGGAAAATTGAAGAGTGGTCGAATGGGCGGTTTGGGACGCTCATATTCATTTAATGAGGGGCCGCCCACTCAATATTCCTTTCCGCAGAGCTTCCTTCTGTCCAACACCGCAGGGGAAGGAGAAGTTGGAGTAAGGGAAAAAACTCCTACCCCGACGGTAACAAGTCCATCGAGGGCCGGAGCGGGTGGTTACCGCTAAGAAGTGCAACAACGTCAAGCGAGGGGCCTTTGCTACAAATGCGATGAAAAGTACATCCCAGGACATCGGTGCGAGAACAATAAACTTAAGATTTTGTTGGCCACTGAAGATGAAGGCGGAGGGGAAGGAGAACCTAATAACGAGGGCAATCACAGAGTCACGTTGTGGAAGGAAAGGGACAACCATTTACCTTAATTTGCTGTTGGGCAACTTTGAGCAGTTGAAGGTGCTAGGCGTCCAATCTCTCGAATTCAACCTTGGGGACAAGGTTGAAACTCGAGGGGGAGATGGGGCGGGGGGATTGGGGGTTGATAATGTTAGATACTAGCTCTTAGGAAGTTAATGATTAGTAGAAGTAAAGTGGGGGGAAAAGAAAATAAATTGGGTTTGGATGTAATTTTTGAGAAATTATGTTAGTGCTGATTTGTCTTGGTTTTGGCTAGGATAGAGGAAAGGTATAAAAGGGAAGTAAAGGGGAGTGTTTGGATTAGGCTGAGATTTGTGAAGAATTTGGAAAATCTTAGGAGAGTTGGTGGTCTCTCGAACCACCGATTAGGAGTCCCCGGAGTACTCAAACACTCCAATCTATCCGTTTAGTAGTGTAATTGGTGTTTGGCTAGTGAATATCAATATGAGTACCCCTAATTTCTATCCTATTTCCTTGTCAATTTTCTGGTTTGAGTGTGTATTTTTTGCTGTTGGGCTGTGATAGACAAGGTACCTAACAGATATCCACCAAAATTATGAAAAACGTGGAAAATTACAATTAGCACCTCTGGTAGAGTACACAAAGCTATAAAAGAAAGAACTTTGGAACCCTAATGTCCACCGAAAGACACCTTGCAGTTATTTTGAATGCCTTTTTACGGAAAGTTTTTCTTGGTGGAGTTCCGATTTGTGTAGTAGCTCACTCTAGTGATCAATGTCATTTTACTTGTGAGAGTGTGTGCCTTATTGTCTTTTTAATTTTATGTTACTTTAGATTGACAGTATACTTAGACCTTGCCTGATAACTCTGGACTCGTGCTTGCTGAATCTGTAAAACACAGAGACATATTTGTTTATATATGCATATACATGTGTATGTGTGTGTTTAGTCACCTAATACTTCAATGGCCAAGTATTGTTCCCTTGGTGGCATTATACTGTTGTCGATGTAGGACAGTTTTCATATGGTGCCACTGTACATTCTACTTGTTTAAGGTATGATTTTATTCTGGTCTTCAAGGACATCATTTTTATGACAGACTCTGCTGGATTTGACCAGGAAACATGGCTGAAAGATGCTGTGCTTAATGTATTTCTTGATACACGAGATTGTCCTCCAAGTTTGGTGAGATTCGCATCGGACAACTAGAAAAGTATTTTAAGTGTTTTAGTCTCAACTGGGAAGTTGCTTATGTGTACAATTTTTTGCAGGTCAACTTTTTTAATAGGGAAAAGAAAACTCCTGGGAGCAAGAATAGAGTGTTTCCGCAAACCATTTCTACTGGCGTTAGTCACAGACAAATGCCTAGTAATCTTTTATCAGAGCGTAGAGATTTTGATGATTCTCTTTCTCGTATGAATTCTTCTCAAAATCTTGGTACGGCTGTCAAACAGTTGGCTCCAATTGATTTGCAAAGCTCGTTGATATTGGACAAAAGTAACAATCGAAGCAACGTTAGTGCATCATCCGTTCAATTGAAAAGGAATATAGGCATGCACCACAATAAAGTTTGGGAAAGTTGGTTATCCCAAGCATCTATTGTCAGAAAGTTTACTTCCGTCGCAGTACTTGGCTGCATTTTCTTTGCTAGCTTTAGGTTAACAGGCATGAATGTAAATAGGATGAGAAGTTCTTCTAAATGCATTCCAAGTAAAATAAATACACATGAAGATTCCCTTGTCTGGAAAACAGATTCTTCTATAAATGACAATCTTGTGCCTACTTACATCAATGAGGATGGAATTTCTGGAAGCATTAAGAAGACTTTGGGAATAGTTGCCACATGGTTCTACAGTAAGTCAGATGCTGGAAACACCCAAACTTTAAGCCCCATTGCTAATCTTTCATCTTCTATGCGAGCTATGTCTCGGAGGCTCATGCCTGTGGAAGAAGCTGAAGAACTTGTTAAGCAATGGCAGGAAACTAAGGCTGAAGCTCTGGGACCTAGCCATCAAGTTCATAGCCTCTCTGAAGTTCTTGATGACCCGATGCTTTCTCAGGTAAATTTATCAATATGTATCCTTGCAGTCTTTCTTTTGTCTTTTTTATTATATGTTAGGCCCATAATTACTTATGTTAGACGTGGGAATAAGAGGGCAGGGGCAGTTTAGTCTTTTGGGTGTTTTATGGATTTAGAGCTTTAGTATAAAGAGGGCATTAGCAAGTAATTACGTTTATGCTGAGTTTTGTCAAGTTATTAGGAATAGTTAGGAGTTTTGGAGAGATCGACCTACCTCTTGAATTGTAGGTCAGGATTTGTCTTTTAATTTACTTGATTAATAATAATAAGTCCTAATTCAGCCTTAATCTCAATTGATTCTTCTCTGAGTCCTATTAAATTGGTATCAGAGCGAATTCCTGGGACAATGGCAGCAAGGAAGGTGGATGCGCTAGAAGAGAAATTGGAAGCGGAGGTTGGATCGCTCAAGACCACCATCGACGAGCGATTCAATACCGTCCAACAACAATTTGCGTCCCTTGAAGCCATGTTGCTGAAATTAATGGAGCTCCACCTCAACCCACCACCGGTAGCAACGGCGAGCCACGGCGGCGCGGCGGGAGAAGGGTCCGGTGGTATGGAACTCGAGGTAGGCGACGGCGCACAGGGAGGAGGGTTGGAATCCACCCGTTTGGCGCGGCCAGAGGCGGCGGGACACGGCCGATTTGCTGGCGTAGAGGGCGGCCCAGGCGACGCGCGACTTGGAGGAGCTTTTCCCGGCGTTGGGGGCGGCAGAGGAGGCTGGGTCGCGGCTGGAGGCGGCGGATCTGAAGGATTCGCGGCTGGAGGAGGCGGCCTAGGGTTTGGGGCGACGGGGTTTGGTGTTTTGGCGCCGCCATGGGGCGCGCCAGGGCTGGGGATGACTGGGCACGATGTTTCAGCGCCGTGGTGGGGAGATCCGGGACCTGGGCAGGTCGGATCTGGGGCTGGGCACGCTAGGCAGGCCGGATTTGGGGCTGGGCAGGGCGGATCCGGACCCGGGCAGGGTGGATTTGGGGGCGTACGGCCGGGAGGAGGAATTTCCAGCGAGAGGGGGAGTGGGTATGACGGAATCGCGGCTGGGCAAGGTGGAATTGGGGCTGGGTCTGGCGGATTTATGGAGAATGGAGGAGAATCGGGAGGATGGAGGCCTCCAATGGCGCGAAATTGGGCTGGGCATACCCAATTTGGTGCGGATTCTAGGGTACGGAAGTTGAAAATTCCCATTTTCGAGGGCGAGGATGCCTATGGATGGGTGTATAGGGTAGAACGCTATTTCGCCATCAATGGACTCTCAGAGAGGGAAAAACTAATGGCGGCGGCTTTATGTTTGGAGGGAAAGGCCCTTGCGTGGTTTCAATGGCGAGAACAACAGCAACCATTGAGGACTTGGGGTGAATTTAAGGACCGGCTGCTGCAGCGATTTCGAGCCACTCAAGAGGGAGATCTATACGAACAGTTTTTTGCCCTGATCCAGGATAAGACAGTCATGGAGTATAGAGAGAAGTTCGAGCTGCTATCAGGTCGCTTAGGGGAAATCTCAGAAGCGGTGTTGGAAGGGAATTTTATGAAGGGACTGAAGCCGGAGATCCGAGCGGCGCTGCGTTTGCTGAGACTGAGAGGGTTAGGGGAGACGATGGAGTTGGCACAGATGATTGAGGATAAGAATGCAACGGCGCGGGTCAATAGGAGCAACACAGTCGGCTTTTCATACCGAAATAGCGCACCACCAGGAGGGCAAAAAACTCAGACGTTGGGATTCCAGAGAGAAACCCAAAAGGATCGAGATAGTGGGGTACGTCCGGGAGTGACTTTCAAGCGCCTCACTGAGACAAAGATTCAGGACAAGAGGGCGAAAGGGTTGTGCTTTCGATGCGATGAGAAATTTTCACCAGGGCACCGATGTAAAGACCGATCACTACAAGTCCTAACTGTGTGTGATGACGAGGAAGGCGGGGAAGCAGCTGAAGAAGAAGAGTTGATGGAGGAAGAACACCTGCATTTAGATGTGGCTGAGGTGTCGCTCAATTCAGTGGCGGGGTTCACACCGAGCCATTCCATGAAGATTAAGGGTAGGATTGGAGAGCAGGATGTGGTAGTGTTAGTTGACAGTGGGGCCACACAATTTCATTTCCAACCGCGTGGTGGAAAAGATAGGGCTCCAGTTGACTGACACTGGGAGTTTTGGGGTGACCTTGGGAACCGGAGTGTTAGAAACGAGCCGAGGAATTTGCAAGGGGGTGATTTTGACGCATCAGGGAATTCAAGTGTTAGACGATTTCCTACCCCTGGATTTGGGAAGCACATACGTGATTTTGGGGATGAAGTGGCTTCAAACGTTGGGAGTGATGAAGGTGAATTGGAAGCTGTTGAGTATGGAGTTTCAGGTAGGAAACCAACCAGTAATTCTGAGAGGCGATCCGAGTCTGTGCCGAACCTTGGTGTCATTGAAAACCATGGTGAAGGCCATTAAGGAAGAGGGGGGAGGATTCTTGGTGGAGTTGCAGAGTCTTGAGGGAAGGCAGCTAGAGACGGCTGAGGAGGTACTGGAATCGATACAGGAGCTCCTAGACCAATTTGAGGGGGTGTTTCAAATGCCACAGGGTCTTCCTCCACAGCGGGGCCATGAACACGCTATAGTTTTGAAAGAGGGAACTCTTCCTATCAGTGTCAGACCGTACAGGTACCCACAGATTCAGAAGGATGAAATGGAGAGGATGGTGAGGGAGATGTTGGACACAAGCATTATACAACCCAGTGTGAGTCCATTTTCAAGCCCGATTCTGTTGGTCAAGAAGAAAGATGGAAGTTGGCGGTTTTGTATCGATTACCGGGCTCTTAAGAAGGAGACTGTCCCTCATAAGTTTCCTATTCCGGTGATTGATGAGCTCCTCGATGAATTGTATGGGGCGACTGTGTTTACGAAGATTGATTTGAAGTCCGGTTACCACCAGATACGGATGAAACCTGAGGATGTTCATAAAACTGCTTTTCGAACGCATGAAGGGCACTATGAGTTTCTTGTCATGCCCTTTGGTCTTACGAATGCACCGGCCACGTTTCAGTCACTGATGAACAAGGTATTTCAGCCCTATTTACAGAAGTTTGTGTTGGTCTTCTTCGATGATATTTTGGTGTCTAGTCGCACACTAGAGGATTATGGCAGGCACTTAAAGGTGGTGTTGAGGGAATTGCAGGGACATAAGTTGTACGCCAATCGGAAGAAGTGTTTGTTTTCTCAGACAAGGGTGGAATATTTGGGACATATAGTGTCGGCAGATGGGGTCTCAGCCGATCCATCAAGGGTAGTAACGATGTTGGAGTGGCCAATACCGAGGACCCTGAGAGAGTTGAGGGGTTTTCTTGGGCTTATGGGGTATTACCGGAAGTTTGTTAAGGGGTATAGCACCATAGCGTGGCCCCTAACGGAGCAGTTAAAGAAAGACAGTTTTATTTGGGGGGAAAAGGCAACAGAGGCTTTCGAGAAGCTTAAGCGGGCTATGACTAGTGTGCCAGTGCTGGCCTTACCTAATTTTGATCAACCCTTTGTGGTGGAGACAGATGCATCCGGATATGGTCTAGGGGCAGTGCTTATGTAGAACCAGCAACCGATTGCTTATTTCAGTCAGGTGTTGACGGCGAGGGCACGCCTAAATCTGTCTATGAGCGAGAACTCATGGCAATTGTGTTGGCGATACAAAAGTGGAGACCATACTTATTGGGAAGGCGATTTATTGTCCGGACAAATCAGCGGAGCCTTAAGTTTTTGTTGGAGCAGCGATTGGTGACTGAGGAGCACCAACGTTGGCTGTCCAAGTTGTTAGGGTATGATTTTGAGATTCAATATAGGTTGGGCTTGGAGAATAAGGCGGCGGATGCCCTATCACGACGGCTTGAGGAACCCCAGTTAGTAGCATTATCAGTGTCCTTAGTTTTGGATTGGGAGGTGTTATTGAGAGAGAGTGCGGCTGACGAAGGATTGGAGAAGATTCGGTCGGCAATAGCGCGAGGGGAAGCCGGATATCCGGGGTACTCCTTGGATGGACAACGACTGCTTTACCAGGGTCGGTTTGTGTTGCCTAAGGCGTCGGCCTATATACCAAAGCTTCTACAGGAGTTTCATGGGAGTGCAGTTGGGGGACATTCGGAGGCCCTCAAGACTTATCGACGACTGGCCGCAGAATTATATTGGGTGGGAATGAAGAAGGATGTGGAAGACATGGTAGCAAGGTGTGATGTGTGTCAACACCAAAAATATATGGCTATGGCGCCCGGCGGATTATTGCAACCTCTAGCCCTTCCGGACACCCCTACATTGCCGTGACTGTAGCCGCCGCATTTATACGCGAGGTGGTGCGCTTACATGGTATTCCGGAGTCGATAGTGACGGACCGGGATAGGGTCTTTTTGAGCAACTTTTGGAGGGAGTTGTTTAGAATGTAGGGAACGATTCTGAAGAGAAGTACTGCTTACCATCCGCAGACAGACGGCCAAACTGAGGTGGTCAATCGGAGTATAGAGACGTACCTGCGGTGTTTCGTATCGGACACGCCCAAACTTTGGGCGAGGTGGTTAGCGTGGGCTGAGTACTGGTACAACACTTCCTACCATACTGCATCACAGACTACTCCTTTTAAGATCCTGTATGGGCGGGATCCCCCACATCTGGTGCATTATGGTCATAGTCCCACGCCTGTGTACTAGGTCGAACAATATTTGGAGGAGAGGGATAGAATGCTGTAGGAGCTAAAAAGACATTTGTCTAAGGCCCAACAGTTAATGAAGAAGCAGGCCGATGGACATCGGAGGGACGTGCAGTTTGAGGTGGGAGACAGGGTTTATTTGAAGCTCAGGCCATATCGGCAGAAGACCTTGGCGCGGCGGAGGAATGAGAAGTTGTCTCCTCGATATTTCGGGCCTTATGAGGTCGTGGAGCGGATCGGGGAAGTGGCTTACCGATTGCGGTTGCCACCCTCTTCAGCAATTCATCCAGTTTTTCATGTATCTCAGTTGCGTCGGGCGATCGGCGAACACACATCATCTTCTTCGTTACCGCCAACATTGACAAAGGATATGGAAGTGGTGATGGAACCGTCCGCTTTAGAAGGCGTGCGTCGGGGAGCAACAGGTCATAAGGAGGTGCTGATTAGATGGAAGAATTTGCCAGATTACGAGGCAATTTCCTGGATTCCACCTTGGGGACAAGGTGTCTTTTTGGGAGGGGAGTAATGTTAGGCCCATAATTACTTATGTTAGACGTGGGAATAAGAGGGCAGGGGCAGTTTAGTCTTTTGGGTGTTTTATGGATTTAGGGCTTTAGTATAAAGAGGGCATTAGCAAGTAATTAGGTTTATGCTGAGTTTTGTCAAGTTATTAGGAATAGTTAGGAGTTTTGGAGAGATCGACCTACCTCTTGAATTGTAGGTCAGGATTTGTCTTTTAATTTACTTGATTAATAATAAGAAGTCCTAATTCAGCCATAATCTCAATTGATTCTTGTCTGAGTCCTATCATTATACTAGTTGAGTCATGTGCTATGCACGTGGAGAATAACTTTGTAAATTTGATCCAGTGCCAAAACACATGACCTCTTTAGAAACTAAGTCCATTAGTTGGAGCAAGAGGAAAAAAAAAAAAAACTTCAAAAAATCACATTGAAAAAGAATTAAAGTTGTATAGGAGTTTTTGACCCCAAAAAAAAAAAAAAAAAAAAAAAAAAAAACCTTAAATAGGGAGATATTTGAAAGAAGTTATTTTAATTAAAAAATGAGAGAAAAAAAGGTAGTCAAAGATAGATATTGTTAAAAAAAAAAAAAAGAATTGTCAAAGTTCACAACTTCCTTATGGGCTAGAATTGATTATGCTTCCTTATGGGCTAGAAATGCTAGAAGCTTCCTTGTGGACTTTGTGGTCGGAAAGAAATGCTACAATTTTTTAGGAAAAGCAGATGGATATTATTGATCTTTTTGAGAAAGCAAAGTTCAGAGCTTCCTTGTGGGCTTCATATGGCAAAGTTTTTCAGGGTTTTCCCTTTTCGTTAGTGGTATTGAATTGGAAGGATGTAATAGGCACTTAGAGCTCATTTGTTTCTTGCATTTATCCATAGTTTTGATTCTGCTGCAGTGTTTTCCTCTCATAAAAAAATTTGAATTTCAAAAGCCAGAATAAAAAATCACTGATTTAAACGCATGAACCAAACGGGCCCTTAAGTTTTTGGTGTTTTTGAATCTTATCTTGTACTTTGTCTCATCAGGGAGGATACCTTATCCTCTTTTTTGTAATTGATTTATTTAATCAATAATGTTTTTCTTGTAAAAAAAATTATTTGTCAAAGAATATTAGGGGAAAAACAAAAATAGACAATAAGCAAAAGAAAAGAAGAAAAAATAATAATAAAAAAAGAGTTTAAAAAAGAAAAAGCTAAACTGTATATAAGTTCCAAACTGTATTGGTAATGTGTTGGATAATCTGGTGAATTTATTTGATAATTTTAGCTACATGATCCTAATTTGAATGTAACCAGTGTATTGCTTTAGCTGTTTGATTGATTGATTTTGTTGCCAATATCCCGCAGGTGCTGTGTCACTTTTCAATGATAGACTACTTTTCCCTCATACCTGCAATAAAATTATAGTTTTAGTTTCTAACATTATTCTAGTTGTTTGTGGAGAATAAACAAGAAAAGGACCAAGTTCAAGTAAAAAATATTAGCAGTTTATGAAAGGGGCAATGTTTTGAGTTTCTATAACATTTTGAAATGACTAATGATGGCTGAATTTGTCGGGGCTACATAAAATGAATTGTTGTAAGCATGAGAAGAAGACTTGTTGGCACATTTGGTAGCATTTGTTTGTTTGTTTGTTTCTTTATTTTTATTTTTATTTTTGTTAAGGCTATTCTGATACTCTTTAGGTCCAAGTTTAATTGCTTGCATTAGATGTTACTTAGTTACTTGTGTATTTTGGTCTTTCAGTGGCACGCTTTGGCTGATGCTGCAAAAGCCAGGTCTTGTTATTGGAAATTTGTGTTGTTGCAATTGTCTGTCCTCCGAGCTGAAATTTTATCGGATGGAATTGGAGAAGAGTCGGCTGAAATTGAAGCTCTTTTGGAGGAGGCAGCTGAACTTGTTAATGAATCTGAGCAAAAGAACCCCAGTTATTACAGGTAAGTAGCATTACAACGTTTTTACACATATTTGAAGAGACTAATTTGGATCTTTGGATATTTTGTTTCTTTATATTAAAGTCATGGAAAGGTTGGGTAATTTGGTGAAGTGGCCGGCTTTGGGGGTTTTAAAAAAATGGTTGTTTTTATTAAATCAATTGATTTATGACAGAGTAAGTTATTGATTTACTTTATTTAATCCGCCAATTACTGGATTTACTTAGTAAATAATGAATTTACGGCCATTTTCCTCATTCAGAAAAACCAGCTATTTATTTTCAGGCAGCTGTGGTTTTGCCCATCCAAAGGGTTTCCGGGCATCTTGAAGCCTAAACTTCTAGAATAGTCTTGCTTACTTCTCATATTATCATCATCATTATTGGTTTGATAAAATTTTCTAAAATTTATTTTTACTTTATTGCAGTACCTACAAAATCCGATATCTTCTGAAAAGGCGAGATGATGGCTCTTGGAGGTTCTGCGAAAGTGATCTACAAAGATCATAAGATGTTCAAACTAGCTCTAGAAACCACCAATAGTGACTTAATTCTTTGCTAACACTCTTCCTCCCATTACAATTATAATGGCGAGAGGAAACCCATAAAATTTGACTCTTTTAGGATGGTTTACCTTGAAAAAGAAGAAGAAGAAGAAGGCTGTAGTATGACTTTGTTCTTTCTTCCGAGCTGTGTATAGGGTCCGTTTGGCCTGCTTTTAGAACCAGCAAGTGGTTTTGAAAATGAAATTTGTTTCCTTAGAAGGTAAATTGTGATAGCACTAGAAAGGTGGCGTATGAAAGGTTTTTTCCTCAGTTGTATGGCCCTTTTGGTAGTACTTTTAAAATGACCAAAATATGATTAATCAAATTTTTGCTTGATAAGATAAAAACTTGGAAGAATTTTGTGGCAGGGGGGTTTCCCCTTCCCCCCAAAAAAAAAAAAAAAAAAAAAAAAAAAAAAAAATAGGAGTAAAAAAAAATCAAAGGATATCTTGGACATACATTAAAATTTACCTCAAAAGTCTGAAAAATGTTTATCTATATACGGTCCTCTTTGTGAGGACTACATGACTACATTTTCACCTATAACATATAGAAGTGAGAAACAACATGACATTCATTCGACGCATTATTCACGTAGAAAAAGTGTAGTTGTTTGTGATAATTAAATTTCTTGGTTGTAACGTTTTTGCAACGTCATGACTAAATATCATCAATGTAACGCGATATTAATACAATTATACCCTATCAAAAATTTCTTCAAAAGCTTAAACTAAAACTTAGATAATAAAATAGAAAATTTTTAATATTCTTTATTATGAAAATGTTGTACATTGTTGAACTATCGGTATTGAAAGATATTTCTCTCGTATCCTATCAGAGAATTTTCTTAACAAAATGTAATAAGTTTTCAAAGTAAAATATTTTTTTTCCCCTAAAAAAGCATAGAGCAAAATATTTATTAAACTATATATATTGAAAAATAACTGAATCTGTGAAATGAACATGACCTTAATAATCTTGATTGTTATATGCATTCACATTGCAATTTGACTTCTATCTTCAAATTGTGCCCATTAATAGGCAGGCTTGTTTTTCTCTCTCCCTTTCTCTCTTTCCTTTTGAGTGGTGCTAAGGTTTCATGTGTCTCTTTTTCTTGGGGTTGGAGGTCGGCGGCGGCTGTTGGCTGCTCTAGAAACTAATGGCCCTACGGATGGAAGTCTAGTGGCAGGCATGCCTGAGTAGTCAAGAAGCACTTGATTTTGGCAAAGTGTTGGTCGGAGGCTGTCGAATTTCGGTTGTCTCCTTTTGGAGCGTCGGATCTCCGGTGGCTCTGTGACCTTTGGGCCTTGTCCCTCTCGTCAAGGCAGATCTAAGAGTTGGTTACATTCGTGGTTTTGGTCTCCAGTTTGGGTGTGGCTCCATGGGGGTTTGTGGCTGCGAGCGACGCATAAGTTCTTTAGTGGTTTAGCATCAAAGAAGTGTGGAGATTCTCTAGGGTGAATGCGTGCTAGGATGGGAGGCCAGCAGGGGCTGCGCGTGGATCTACATGCCGGCTTAGTGGGGTCTCATCAGCACTGAATCCGATTCTGTACAGATTTGCTCGATTTGATTTTTGCTACACGTTGTCTTTATCTCTATTTATGGTGGTGTCAAATAACGGCGATGGTGAATTTTATTGTTATTATTATGTTTTGTTTTATTGTCTTTGTTTTAGTTATGTGTCTAACCCGCTTGAGTTTGTTTTTGACGGTATTGTGGGTGATTTTTGTCTTACAGGTCTTTTAGTCTCGATCGATCGGAGTCTTCCATCGATTGTAGAGGAGTTGTTTAAAGAGCTGTATGTGTTTTCAATTGTAGAGGAGTTGTTTAAAGAGTTGTATGTGTGCTCGATTGTTAGCGTGTCTTTTCAACTTTATGTTGGTGGAGCTTGGTGCACACTTACTCCCCTTGGGCGATTCATTAGGACTTACTGGTGGTCATGGTCAATAGTTGGGATTAAGCTTTCTTGTAGTGCAAAGTCATATGAGTCAGAATTGATGTCTGTACCTCTTTGATTTGGAATACATTCACTTTAAAAAAAAAATTGTGCCCATTTTGAATCTTTAATTCTACGTACATAATAGAGTTAAATTCTCTTAACATAAAGAAACTTGAGACCGGAACAGTCTCTAAATAACTAGAGAATTTTGATATCAACGTATTATTGGAAAAGATGTCTTTAAAGTGTAAGATGTAATAGGATATTTATTATTTATTTAATAAAAGAGATTATTCATTATGTTATATGCATATATTATTAAATATTTTATGAATACTATTAAAAATTTTGCGATTATTTATATAACTTTCAATATGGTATGTAAGAGTTATATACAAGAGGACAATATTTAAGGATAATAATCGAAACGTGTTCGTAATGAATTTAATTAAAGTTTCAGAATCTTTAAGTAAAACATTACTTATACATGTCATTCCCATTAAGAATGGAACAATGTTATATGCACTGTTAATATGGAGAGATATTGAATGAGTGCATTACACAGAATGTAGAACTAGGATGCAAATAATTTTGGAATTTTTGATAGTTCCCGTTAAATATAGAAATTCGAATTGATCTACTAATGGTCATATATGGAACGATTTTAATCCTGAGTTATTTGTATATTCTTATTTATGGATTTGTATCTTTTGACTTATTCAGTATGGATTTCGAGATTTTAAATCCTATTCCTTGTATCTTAGAAACATGATGAAGTGGGTAGTCTGGAATGCTAATATACGAGATTGAATTCATTCTTTCTTGAATAAAGAAGTAGATAAATAATTTCTTTGAGCGTTGATTCGGTACTTGATAAGTAACGAGCTCGTATTCATGAATTTATTTTATAAATATACTATTCATTAGAGAATCAATGGTATTTAAGGATAAAGATGTAATTCGAGAGGTTAATGGATTTCACCTCGCTCTAATTGTGAATTATTTATGGATGATTGACCTATATGCAATGACTATATCAAATTGACACTTCAAGGTTTGGAAGTAAATTATATCTATAATTATAAGAGTGCAATTCTAAGTTTATAGTTGAGTAACTTTGAAATTAATATAATTAATTAAGTAATTAAAGAGTTTTAATTAATTATTAATTTTATTTGAGCTTGAAATTATAAGTCTATGAGTCCACACGTCATCATTATAAATCTACAAGTCACTAAGGATAAAATAGAAATTTTAAAATTATAGAATTCTAAAACAAAACACTCAAAAATAAATAAATAATAATTAATTAGATATTAGATAATGTGATTAGTTATGGATGTTTATATTTATTCATGTTGATAAAAATATAGATGATAGATTTGATCGTTAATTATATAAGTTATATTTGTTCTTCAATTTTAGTAGAAAATTTGTATTTATTCGGGAATATGAATTATTGTAATTCTAGAATTAATGCATCATAGAATTAAGGGAAGTCATCGTGGAGCAGGACAAAAGCCAGATGAGAAATAAAACTGCGAAGTCAAAAAACCGCCCTTGCTGCACTGTTTAGCGCGCGCCGGCGCAACCCCACGGGTTGTGCGCGGGCAAGTGCGCTGTAGCGCACGGAAACAAGCCTGACAGGGCCCGAGGGTTTCTAAAACCCTCGTTTCACGCTTTTTGGGATCTAGAAGAATTCCAAACTTGGAGGAAGATGCAACCTGATCTGAAGACGAACGAATTGAAGACTCGAAGAACGAAGAATTAAAAATTGAAGACCTGTTGATGTAGCGGAAGAATATAATTATTGTAATTATTTATTTATTTGATTTCGATGTAATAATTATTTGTTCGATATGGTTGTAATTTATTTATATTTCCATGGGACTAGGTCAGATTCATCTCGGTAGCCGATTGCATATTTTATACTTATATTTATTTTTTGATTGTATATTATTTGTTTATGCATATAACATGACGTAGATTTAGTGTGCCTACTCATATGTTTAATAACATTTCATGCATACACGTGCATTTATTATTTATTTTGTTAAAAGAGTTTTAAAAAATAAAATAAAAGTTATGCGCTAAATTAATTTAATATGATTAGATTAATTTTAGTTGGAATTTTGATTTGTAAAATAATGTAATATGTGAAATTGAATTTAATAGTTAAATTTTTAAATTTCACATATCCAATAAATAAATAATTTATTATTAGAATTTGAAAACCATGCGATGTTTTTCAAAGTAAAATACATATTTACAAAATATTGAGTGGAAAAGGGTTGTATGATAATACGACCCACTGATCTCCACTGTTACAACACCATGAGATCCGGGAGGCGTTTCACGGCGGAACTGATTCCGTCCTCCCTAAGGACAATATCCATTTCAGATCAATATCAAGGTTGACTTACTAGTGATAGGATTCCAGGATGTATTTCTAACTTGACCTATGGTCAGGAGAGAAAAGTTTACAAGTTGCTTAAGTCCATTTATGAATTAAAGTAAGCTCCCCGTTCTTAGAATTAAAGATTTTACCAAGTTGTCAAGACTTATGGATTCCAACAGAATATGGATGAACCTTACATTTATAATCATATTCAAGACAAGAAAGTGGTTTTTCTACTGTTATATGTTGATGACATTCTACTCATTGGCAATGATATAGGGGCTTTAAGATCAGTCAAAGTTTGACATTCTACTGTTATATGTTAATAACATTCTACCTAACAGTTTGACATGAAGGACTTAGTAAAAGCTAATTATGTTATGGGTATTCGGATCTTCAGAGACTGAAAGAACAAAATGATAGCTCTCTCCCAGGCTTCATACATTGACAAAATTCTTGATAAGTTTGCAATGCAGAATTCTAAGAAAGATAGGCAACCATCTAGGTCTGGAATTACTCTTTCAAACAGTGATTGTCCCAAGACATATGAGAAAAGAGAATACATGGCGAAGGTACCTTATGCTTCAGTAGTTGGTAGCCTCATGTATGCAGTGTTTTGCACACGAATTAGACATTTGCCATGCGGTCAGATCGTAAGTCAATATCAGTCGAATCTAGGACCTAACCATTGAGTAGCGGTTAAGCATATATTCAAGTACCTAAAGAGGACTAGGAATCATATGCTGGTATATTTTGGGGAGGATATGACACTTCTAGGATATATGGACTCAGATTTTCCTCAATCAGAGGGGACTTCTTGGAGAGAAAAACCAAGACCTAAAAGAGGAAACTACAAGGACTCAACGCTTGATTGAAGATTGCGGAGTTCGATTGGCATCTAGTTCTACATTTTTTTTCTCTCTCTCTTAGCTTCCGAGTTTGTATCATTTCCTTGGATTTAAGATTATATGATGGACTAGATTCTTGGTTTGTTTATGAT